TTTTTTTTTTTTTGGCAAGGAAATTTGCTCGATCTCCAGCAGCAACCACTGCTCCTTTTGATGTTGTGGTACGCCGTGCGCATGCGCCTCACATTAGAATTACTGCACTGGCCAGAATAAGTTGGATCTCTTCTTCTCTTCACTGAAACCCTAAATCATATCAAAAGCCAAAGGGATGGTGAGAGTCCGGAGAAAGGGTTACTTTGGGATTTGGTCATTCTCCTTAATAATAGCAGTGGTGTGTGCTCAGAGGTGAGTGATGGAGATCTCTCTTTTACTTCACTTGGAATTGCACTGTATGCTACTGGCTGTTAATAGGAATGTGCAGATTGGAGCCAAGAAATAAGATCTGTGTGTTATTGTTATTTTTTTAGTGTCAATGACCCTAGCAATATGTCACTGGTAAAAGAGACCGTGGATAGACTGCTGAAAGGCTATGACATTCGCTTGAGGCCAGATTTTGGAGGTAATTTGCTTTTGAATAAGAGATGCTACATACTCGGGCTGCGTGTCCTCTCTGTGTGTGTGCTATCAAACGTGTTGTGGATGTGTGTGTGTGTGTTACCATTTTCGCAAGCTGATTTAAAGTTAAGCCAATTGTTACTTAATTTTCTTAGCCCAGGGCACTCTTAATGCGATCATTTAAATCTCCTGTATGTTTGTAATCGCTCTCTCTTTCTCTTATGCGTGTGTGAGAGTGTGTTTGCGCGGATAATTTATTAACCCGTAATTAAACCCTTAGTTAATTGGCTTTATTGAGATGCAAATCTTTTAAGTTTATCCAGCGTTCATTCCAGCGAGCCTAGCGTGGCTGTGATCCGTGCTGTTTTGAGTACAAGATGTGCTGTTAAAAATGTCATTTAACCCCTTGTATAGTCCCACTTTGAACTAGTTGGGTTTGTTTTTTTTTTAGTCTAAAAACCCAGGGGGTCAGTGGACACTCGGTCTAGCTTTGATACCCCCCTCCATACGTTATGCCAGTGCTACATAGCCCAGACCTAAGAGCCTGATGTAAATCACTGGGAGCTCAGCTGAAATTGCCCGTTCTCACTTTGCACATCGCATGTATTGACTAGAAGGAGTTAAAATGTTCAGTCATCCCCCCCCCAACCCGGCATCAGGTCGAAGTGGTTCAGGCAGTGATCTGGTGTGTGTGTGTGTGGCTCCAGCCGTGGGATCCACAGCCCCCATTATTCACACGTGTGTGCATGTTACATAAAATGTCCCCACAGCTGCCGGCGGAGGCGAAGGGTGAACACACCGTGAACTGATGGCTTTGGCGTGGAGCAAATGCGAGCCTGGCTTGGGGGGGGAGAATGGGATTTGGGGTTTAATTAAAGGCAAACTCACGCCATTTCGCCGCGTGATGGGTCCTGGTAAGTGTGGGAAGAACGAGTTAAGTTCTCAGAGATCACATTGCGGACCATCTTGTTGGGTTGCAGGTCCCCCCGTGGCTGTCGGTATGAACATAGACATTGCCAGTATAGATATGGTATCAGAAGTCAATATGGTGAGTACTGAGCTCCCCCCACCCCCTTTCTCTCCTGAAGACACGATGATGATGGTGATGATGAGAAGCTGGCGGGGAGGGATGTGATCGTTTTTCATTTGGCCACATTGTGCTATGGTTTCGACTCCCGGTCATCAAAACAGCCTCCCCCCCGCCCAGTCTCTTGCTGTCCTTTCCCTCCTGTGCACGTTAAGCCTATTAAGGACTTGTTCTACTCTCTGCCCTGGGAGATGCTGGC